TACAGGGAAGATTAGTTGACTACAAATCGTTGAAACTCATATTTTCATCTTAGGCCTACCGTTATGAATAGTCGTGGAGACGATTAAATTTAAGGTATATGGATGGATGTTAGTCTTTAGTTAGCAATCAGTGATTTAATTAAGAAACTGAAGGAAAGTTTTCATCTAGTACTTCTAATAATGCATTTATGTTATCGAATCAGTTGGTTTGCACTAGTTTACAGTATTTTTTTTTACACAGTTCGCCGTGTAGTAACGGCAGTAGTGATTATCAATGTCTTGGTTATTAAAGATTCGAGACAATAGGCTACATTACTGTCAGCTGACGTGCCGTACAGAGAAAACGAGGTACGAGCAACCAGTAATTTAAACATTATTCTTTAGATATAAATGTTGTAATCTTAGCTTAAGACAAGACGGTTTGATAACGAATAATTATGAGGAGGAAGCACTAAGCCAGTATTACTATATATAATACTTAGAAGGGATATGGGGTCAGCAACCGCTGCTCTACCAGTCCAAATGGTTGGGTCTGGTTTGATAGCAAGACTTAAACACTAATACTGAGATATGTTATTTTTAATAGCTAATATTATTAAGTAATAAGAATGATAGTCGATATAAATAGTAAGGATGATAAAGTGGCTGAATCCTTAACTCTAGTAAACAAAGTTCCTAGCAATGTTATGTTTAACTGAATAAAATTAAATAATAAAGAGCAGAATAATAAATTAAATTAAACTAACCAAAACGAGGCAGTATAATTACACTTTTATGATAACATTTAAGATTGACAGAGTTGTCAGGAAAATAATTGAAACGATGATGTAAAAATTGAGTTTTAAATATTAAAATTGGAATGGAGAGAGACAAAGGAACAAGTGCGGTAATTACAATTTAGAGGAGGAGGGCGGCGCAATGTGATTTAAATAACAAATCAAGAGTAATTTTATAGCACCCTGATATTAGATAACGATAACACAAAGATGATATACACTGAAGAAAAATGACAGAGGTAGACAGTATAATAGAGTATAGCTAATATGGCTACAATAGATAATGTGAGTAATGTGGTTATTATAACTAATGCGGTTATTGTTGATAATGCGGCCGATGAACTAAAGGTGCTGCCGACATAATTGGAAAGCGAGCGTAGCACTGATTATTCGGGGCAGCACAGATTAATCAGGACTAGGTCTTGGTTGCTTATGTGTTTTTATCTGATTATGAGACTCTGGTGGCTCGCTTCAACATTCATCAGTGTTGATGTTTTGTTGACTAACGGCAGCTCTAATGAGGTCATACCTCACCCTGCGATTCACGAATTTTAAGACAATTCGTCATGTGTTTGGGTCAGTGCTTATCTGCGCTCTCTTGTGTACAAGCGCAGAGGCTCGCCTCCCTGTGTTCACAAATTAGTCTCGGTGCTTGAACCTGAACTCACCGATACCTACCAATCTATCGATCCTCCTGCCTGCAATCTTACTATCAACCTGGGGCCAGATTCACGAAAGCACTTACGCAAGCACTTACGAACGTGTACATCTTTCCTCAATCTTTGACGGCTTTGGTTACATTTATTAAACAGTTTACAAGCATGAAAATTTCCCATTTAATTGTTGTTATTGTTATACACAGCCTTCTGGTGCCTTGGAGCTCATTACCTGTTTAATAATTGTAAACAAATCCGCCAAAGATTGAGAATAGATGTACAGGTTCGTAAGTGCATGCGTAAGTGCTTTCGTGAATCTGGCCCCAGATTATTTATCTACCAACCGGATATAAGTGATATGTAAAAACTGGCGGGTGAGGAGCATAGGTTGCAACCTATTTCAACCAATAATACGGAGCAGCAGCACTAATAACAGCATACAGCATACACCTTTTCCCCGCTGGGTCTTCAGTAACATGCGTATTACTTAAGAGAGAGAAGCAGAGGAGGGTTGCCAGGTGAGCCAACCAGCCTCGTCTTTACACTACATCAGCGTTAAAGTTTACATGTGATACGCTCTCTTAAATATTTATTTCCGTCGCCTCTGCGCTCTTGGTGAGTCTTGATCCTAAATTCCCCCTCATTGGCCACTGACGTCGGGAATTATATTACACTTTGCTTGTAAATACAGTGCGGCTTAGTTCAAATTCGAAGCCTTTATTTATAATTGGTTGTGCATTTATAGTTGAGCTTACACAGCTTTTCAGTTAATGACATCGTCTAAAATAATCCAAGATATATGATTAACTTAGACTATGTGTGTGTATATATGTGTGTATATATATATATATATATATATATATATATATATATATATATATATATATATATATATATATATATATATATATATATATATATATATATATATTTATTTTTTTTTTTTTTTTTTGACGCCTAATAAGTAACTTCATTTCTCCTTAGGCGTCAACGTCTATAATTTTCAGTCCAAAATACGTAATATAAAGTCTAAATTTGGCATTATGCCAAGAATTATTTATTTTGAATTGTTTATTTTCCCCAGAGCAATTGTGTTTGGTCATTAAGAGTGAGACTGGCATCAGAGCAGTATCTGGAGCTCGGAGAGGACAGGAGGCCGGAGACTTGTCAAAAGTCCCCCCCCCATTTGTCCCTTATGATTTTATCGAGTTAGATTTGTTGAAATTCAACAGAGTTTTGGCATTTTCAGCTTAGGCGAGTAGGCGGTTCCATGGGTTTATAACCCTGTGGGTGAAATAGCATCTCCTGATGTCTGCCCACATTATAGCTTGTTGAGCTTGAAACCGTTGCTCCTTGCTCGTGTCGCATCTGAAATTTTTAATACGTTATCTGGATGAATATCCTCAAAATTGTTCAGCGTTTTAAATAGTTTCGATGGCATCAGCCCAGTCATGTCTGGTTTGCTGCAGTGTTGTTAGCCCTGAGGCCCTGAACCGTTCCTGATATGAGAATTGACTTGATTCGGAAATTAGTTTTGTGGCCCGGTGTTGAACTTTCTCCAAAGCAGATATGTCTTTCTGAAGATAAGGTCTTCAGAAATCATCCACGAGGTATCACCTTTCTGAAGGTGATCCTTTTGAAGATATATTATTAAATACGAAAGTACTTAAAACAATTCCTGTCTTAATCCTTCCTTGTCAATTGTCTGTCTGACATTGACACATCGTTCATCACGTGATAATTTGTTCGTGATTTATATATATATATGATTTATATATATATATATATATATATATATATATATATATATATGTATATATATATATATATATATATATATATATATATATATATATATATATATATATATATATATATATATGAATGAGAGAATGTATTCCGGTATGTGATAGTTCTTGTTCGCGTTTGAGAACGCTTTAAACCTTTCATTTATCCTCCCTTCTACACCCCCCACCCCCCCCTTTTCCCCAACATTCCCACCATTCCTCCATTTCAACCCCCCCTCTCTCCTCTCTTTCTCCCTTCCCCCCCCCTCTCTCTCTGTCTTTCTGTTTCAGAAAATGTAATATTACGAAAATATTAAAAATGGCTAAAACAGACTCCATGAAAAATAAATCCCCCAATTCCGGACTACATCAAAATCGTGAGGGGTAAGGTCCGATATTTTTATGGGGGCATTGTGGCCAACCCTACCCAGCCTATGACAGTCCAATACCACCCATGGGGTTGCTTGGTATGTGGTTTAAAAAGTTGGATGAAGCCAGCGCAAAGGGTTTAGCCTCCAACCTTACTCAGACAGAAACAGACAGGCACTCTGTCTTTTCTGTGCATCATTTAAGACTATCTAGTATTGTGTGTATTGCCTTGTAAATGTGTATTGAAGGACTGCTATGTTTACACACAGAAATCACAGTAGCGTGATATATCAAATGAATAAATCCACATGGGCCGTGATGAGGGTTCGAACTTACGTTGGCTGTTTATTCACAGTGTTTATTCACTGCTATGTTTCATCTGTGTTGCTGTAAATCTTAATTGGCACTCAGTGGATCCTAGATCGTACCTTCCTGAGGAGACAATTAGCTATGAATTTGTTTTTCTTTTTTATTCAATTAGTTTTGAATTCGATCTTGGGTAGTGCTGCAGATCTTGGGTAGTGCTGCAGATCTTGGGTAGTGCTGCAGATCTTGGGTAGTGCTGCAGATCTTGGGTAGTGCTGCAGATCTTGGATACTACAGCATATCCTGGGTAGTGCTGCAGATCTTGGGTAGTGCTGCAGATCTTGGGTAGTGCTGCAGATCTTGGGTAGTGCTGCAGATCCTGGGTAGTGCTGCAGATCTTGGATACTACAGCATATCCTGGGTAGTGCTGCAGATCTTGGATACTACAGCATATCCTGGGTAGTGCTGCAGATCTTGGATACTACAGCATATCCTGGGTAGTGCTGCAGATCCTGGGTACTTACATATTTGTATCAACTATTGGTATTTATTACGTATGGACACAAACTATCAGACAAACCGAGACCAAAGATGAAATATTACTTGATATTCCGAGAGCTGAAATTAATATACACGAAGTAATTTTAAACCAATAATAATCAAAGTTGGCTTCTACTCGAAGTAAAATATTTATTTCCTCTTCCTTTGATGATGCGGAAACCTGCTAGTGTCGAGGAGAGCCTAGCCCATTTATTTTATTTACCCCCTTAGATCACATCCACTCAAGAAATGCTCATTTTGCTTGCTTAAAATTATAGGTGCAACGTGTAATCATCTGAAGACGATTTTGTAATATATATTTCAACTAATATTTGTTTTTTTATTTACAAACAAAATATAAAATATTTAAATTTACACTTTTCAACGGTAATGTAATGTGACGTCGTACACTAACTAATGTGATGTGATACAGTGTAACGGAAATATGTGACATTATACACTATGTAACAGTAATGTGTGTTGCCATACACTATGAAAATTAAACAAATCTCATTCAATGTGATGAGGAACCTCACAAGAAGTAGATGTTTGTGTAAACTACTGACCTGTCGAAGGAGATGGCCATGAGGGTGAAGACGGAGGCGCAGATGGAGAGTATCGACACAAACTGACTGATCTTGCAGTAGATCCTCCCGAAGCGCCAGTGAAGGTTCAGCATGTAGGTAAAATTGAAGACCACGTTGAGGGTGGATACCATAGCGTCGGCCACGGAGAGGTTCACCAGGAAGATGTTAGTAACAGTACGCATGCGACGGTCAGCCATCACTATCCAGATGACAATGAGGTTGCCTCCAGTAGCCACCACCACCATACCACCGAAGAACACAGACCATATCAGCTGGTGCCACCATGGGAGGTTGTACTTGTTCTCCTCCCACTCTTCAGTGACGTTCGTTCCGTTCGTCACCCCAGAATACGAGCTGTTCATCGTCTGATCCTCGTACTCGAGACTGGTGCCGTTCCACACCATATCTCGGACATAGATGCTACTGACATTCCAGGTCCTCTCGGAGTCGAGGACGGGGCCCAAGAGCTCCATCGTATTTGGGACGGGTTTACAGGCTGGGTCGTACAAGATGAATGAACTATATACTTTGTTTGAAGGTGCTGGACAGACGAGGAGCCTTACATTGTACTAATGGCCTACCTGTTCTGATGGTCAAAGTTTTTGTTACCTCGGAAGTTACGTGTTTCTCCTATCTAAGACATCTTAAGCATTCATATTTTTCATATAAAAAATACGAGATCCGCTGCCACGAGATTATTTACAACCCAAACACGCCTCGGCCCAGGAGTACAAGGATCATTCAATTTTTGTATTGTTTTTTATGGGGATTCCATTATGCCTATTAGTTCGTAGAAGGTTGAGCTTGTCACATGTTGGGTAAGCGGGCACCAGGCCAGTGAGGCCCTCGCGGCCACTCTTGTGTTACTTGCCTCTATCATCATCTCACCACACTATAAAATCCTCATTTCCAGCAGCTTAAGCTACGCAAATTGTATACATTCTTGTCAAGTTTTCCTCGAATGAAAATATATATGTGGGAAAGCGTGTTACGGCGGCAGTGTTGAAGTCAGTTATGGGGCAGTGTACAAACACACACTTGGCTGACGCAACATGAACTGAGGTTCATCTATTGTAGACAGTTTCGAGAAAAAAAAAACTTTGTTTAATTCATCTGGCCCTGAATATTGTATTCGCCTAAATGGAATTTTGATGACTATTCATTCGCGTATAAGATCCTTTGTTTATCACTTCTCACTCAATCATTTCACCAATATCTTGCCGCCAACATAATAAATTTAGTCGTATGTAATATTATATTTAGAAACAACTTTCAGCTACACGTACTTAACTTTAGCCAGAGAACTTTTCCATAAATATAAAATAATATACAACGGCATAATTGTTGTCTTTGGTTCCGTGCGGTGCCACGTGACCTCACCATGATTACATATCTTGTATAATCAAATTGAATCTATAGTCTATTGGGTATTATATATATATATATATATATATTTATATATAATCGCACCGTGCGAGGTACCGGAGCAGAGCGCGTCGACCTCCCTCGTCCAGCCTTCACCGGCAACTGAGCTTGGAGAGTAGGCGAGGCGCTGGGTGCAAGTCCCGCCCATGGCCGACCCATGTCAGCCCGCCCACGCCTTTTTTCCCCTAGGCCTAGGGCATGTGGGCGGCCAGCTGACACAGTGCTACCACGCCTCTCACCTAGGGCGTGTGGGCGGCCGGCCGACACCACCGTTTCATAAATGCAAATAAAGCCACCATATAACCGGGGGGAAAGATCTATAGGTCGTGGTTGATGTATAAACTGCCCTGGTTGGTAGTTTAGTCCACATCTGCATAAGTGACTTATGCTCTTATGTCATATGTGCAACTCCATGTATAGCTCACATTGTCTGCAGTCACATGTGTAACTCACATTGTCTACAGTCACATGTGTAGCTCACATTGTCTACAGTCACATGTGTAGCTCACATTGTCTGCAGTCACATGTGTAGCTCACATTGTCTGCAGTCACATGTGTAGCTCACATTGTCTGCAGTCACATGTGTAACTCACATTGTCTACAGTCACATGTGTAGCTCACATTGTCTGCAGTCACATGTGTAGCTCACATTGTCTGCAGTCACATGTGTAGCTCACATTGTCTGCAGTGTCGTAATGCACTTGATCATCATACAGAACCACTGTTATTTTGGTGTTCTTCACGCCGGTTGCTGATGAGAATGTTGATGTAATCTCCAGGTAACTCATTATCGCTCATCGTTCTCATTAGTGATCATCACGCGAGCCCGGACCGGTGTAGTGGTTGTGTGTATTTACTATTTGGGTCTGCAGAATCGAGCTTTTAGCTCTTGGACCACGCCTTTCTAACAATTTATTTGTCCTCTATTATATCTACTACATATATTTTTCTCTAACACACGGACACACACACACACCCAGGAAGCAGCCCGTAGCAGCTGTCTAACTCCCAGATACCTATTTACTGCTAGGTGAACAGAGCATCAGGGTGAAAGAAACTCTGCCCATTTGTTTCCGCCTCCGCCGGGAATCAAACCTGAGCCATTAGGACTACGACCCCCAAGCGTTGTCCACTCAGCCACGAGACGCTAATGTGTGTGTGTACTCACCTAGTTGTGTTTGCGGGGGTTGAGCTCTGGCTCTTTGGTCCCACCTCTCAACTGTCAATCAACTGGTGAACAGATTCCTGAGCCTACTGGGCTCTATCATATCTTCATTTGAAACTGTGTATGGAGTCAGCCTCCACCACATCACTGCCTAATGCATTCCATCTGTTAACTACTCTGACACTGAAAAAGTTCTTTCTGACGTCTCTGTGGGTAATTTGGGTACTCAGTCTCCACTTGTGTCCCCCATGTTCGCGTACCACCAGTGTTAAACAGTTTATCCTTATCTACCCTGACAATTCATCAGAGAATTTTGTAGGTAGTGATCATATCTCCCCCTTACTCTTCTGTCTTGTGTGTGTGTCAGAGGCTGTGTCTCTGCAGCAATGTTAATACAATGACTTCCCTTCTTCCCGTTTCTCGACATGTGTCATTTTAAAGCCACAAATAAAATGTGCGTCAAAGATGCCATCTTAAGGTCCGACCCGTCGATACTTGTAAGACTCTCGCGCTGAACACATTTTTCCGGCGTCTCTGCGGCTCCATCTTCCACCTGTCTCTTATTGTGAACATTGCCACTTTGTCTGGCCTGTCAATTCCTTTTAATATCTTATACGTTGTTATCATGTCACCCTTCCCCCAGCCTGTCACAAACATATGCAGCTGCCACCTTCCATACCTGGGTCATCACTATACCTGTCACCACCATACCTGGCTCATCACTATTCCTGTCACCACCATACCTGGGTCATCACTATACCTGTCACCACCATACCTGGGTCATCACTATACCTGTCACCACCATACCTGGCTCATCACTATTCCTGTCACCACCATACCTGGCTCATCACTATACCTGCCACCACAATACCTGACTCATCACAACACACCAAAAAGCTATTACCATGTTTCCCCACCACTACCACACCTGTCATCACCACCACACCTGTCACCACCACGTACGCCTCTCACCACTACCACACCTGCCTCACCGCCACACCTGGCTCATTACAACACCACACAAACCCATAACCACTTCACATCTCGACAAGCAAGTGTGGTGTATTCAAGAATACAAGAACGTCTGAATACAAGAATGTCCGAAACGGAACTTTAAGATCAATCATAAACTTTGCAAAACACACGAGAAACGATTGAAACATCAGCCGGGAAGAAGGCAAACATTATTGCGAATTTTTCATCAACTTACCTTTTATGTACGCTAAAAGAAGCGAATACATCGCAAAAATAAAGCTCTTCCAAAAGATTGTATGAGCTTACAGGCAAGGGCGTGTCTTGGAAAATACATTACTCCTGATGGGAAAAACATTACTAAACGTGTTTTGTTTCTTCTCCCGCGGCTTTATGCAGAGACTTCATTCATGTGTTTAGTTAATGGGTTGGTGGCCCAGCTGAGCAAACACTCGTATTCTAATTATCGTACACTCTGGGTGGTGTTGTTGTGTGAGTCTTATGAGGACACTTATTATCGTACACTATGGGGGGGGGGTTGTTGTGTGAGTCTAGCGAAGACGCTAATTATCGTACACTCTGGGTGGTGTGTTGTTGTGTGAGTCTAGCGAGGACACTAATTATCGTACACTCTAGGTGATGTGTTGTTGTTGTGTTGATTTAGGGGCGACGACGATCATGGGAAGGTGATGTGTTGTTGTGTGAGTCTAGCGAGGACGCTAATTATCGTACACTTTGGGTGGTGTGTTGTTGTGTGGATCTAGCGAGAACGCTAATTATCGTACACTCTGGGTGGTGTGTTGTTGTGTGAGTCTAGCGAGGACACTAATTATCGTACACTCTGGATGGTGTGTTGTTGTATGAGTCTAGCGAGGACACTCATTATCGTACACTCTGGATGGTGTGTTGTTGTGTGAGTCTAGCGAGGACACTAATTATCGTACACTCTGGGTGGTGTTGTTGTGTGAGTCTAGAGAGAACACTATCATGCACCCTACTTTTGAAGGTAACTAAAGTGCTTTTACAAGTTTTGACTCGCCCAACCCACCAATAAACCAGGAAGTTGCTATACCAGGACGGGATAGGGGTGTTTACATGGACTCTCCTAACTGGAGTCTACGGAAAGCGAGATTTAGCTCTAGAGCCCCGCCTCTCAGTTATTTTACCTAGGGCTTTCTCACTTCACGACATTCTGGCAAATTCTGCTATACTTTCAATGGAAGTTATTGATCTAAGCGGCTTACACGATGCCTGCTTCAAGTGTGCTTCAGTGGTTTACCACTCGCACTGAATAATGGTATTTTCTGACGCTTCTCCGACTTATTTCTCTCAAATTTACTTTTCTGACCACAATTTCTCCCTTCTCTCTTCTGGAAAGTTCCAGTTCTGTGCACTTTATCCTCTCAGTATTTTATATTCCGTGATCATAACACCTCGGGGTCCTTATTTCTCTTTTGTAGTTGAGTTTTCTTAATCTGTTTTCATAACCTGAATCTCTTATCTGCGGCACAAGTCACGTACCAAATTTGTGGACCTCCTCTACCCACTTGCTGCGGTCGTGAGAGTTGGGCTGACGCTGCATATTCTGGTCCACAAGGCTGGGATTACACGCTGACGCTGCATATTGAGGTCCACAAGGCTGGGATTACACGCTGACGCTACATATTGAGGTCCACAAGGCTGGGATTACACGCTGACATTGCATGTTGTGATTGCTAGGGGGAGGTTAGGTTAGGTAAGATTAGGTCTTATATATGTTGCGGCTAATATAGATTTCGGTTTGTCTGTATTCAATAATATATAAGTCAACTTTCTGGCGGTCCATCACTGACTGAAAACTCACACCCCAGAAGTGAGTTTTCAGTCGCATATAGTCCTGGGGACCATCAGGCTTGTTTGCATATATATATATATATATATATATATATATATATATATATATATATATATATATATATATATATATATATATATATATATATATTGGTACTTACCACCAAAGTTACCATAAGTACTTTCATTTTAGCAGGCTGGGGTGCTGTAATTAGTGTGTGTGTGTGTGTGTGTGTGTGTGTGTGTGTGTGTGTGTACACCGTCACAGAGCAGACGAGAAATCCATTTGGCATTATTCAGTAGGCACTAAAGCTGGTGCATGTTGGTCTTGTTGCCCCAGACGGGTCCCCATTGATTATGCCAATGAACAAATGGTCAAGGTCACGAATTTTCCTTCTGGTATGTGACTTGCCTGCTGCTGCTGCTGCTGCTGTATTCCGTGCCCATGTTCCCTACTGTACCTATGGCCCGTCTCATGTTGTCTATTGAATCATGGTATTATACGTCATACGACCTACTTTGGGTTATATTATGATACCGTTTGTTACAAGGCCCACTTTGCAAGAAAGACCCCACTGTGCAACAAAGACCCCACTACATATAAAGACCTGAACACATATCACACCACGTTCAAACCTCTCACTAGCCTCCTAACCTTATAAATTTTAATTTAAAATTTTGCCCCGAGGGGCGAGTTTATTGGGCCGCGCCACTCATCCTGTGAGTGAACACACCACTATAGCAACATGTACAGCACTCCCCAATAGGAAGAAACCCCGCTGGGTTGTTCACCTTGTCACTTGTACCCAGACACAGCTGGGACTTGCTTAACTGGCTCAAGTGCTTCCCAAACAAGAAAATTAACATTCGTCATTCCTTAAAATCTTACGTTATCTTGCCGGTTCAGAATGGGGAATCTCTTAAGAACAGTATATATATTTGACAAATAGTGTTTTCCTAACTCAAACAATGTGGGGTTTATTATTCTATACATATTTCTAATGACTCTTAGATGTTCACACTTTCTCAGGTAGTGGTCAAGGCGGTGTCCGTCACACTCACCACAGATTCTGCAACTCCTCTGCTCAACTGTTTTTTCCATTCCGAATCTCCATG